AGAATTTAACACGCCACTCTGGTGTTAAATTCTGCCCTTGGGGTCCTTGTGCCGACGACGACGACGACGATGACGGCAAGGGCGACGACGAAGAGTGCGACGTCGACGTCGACGACGACGACGACGGACGACGACACGAGGACAGGATTTAACACGCCACTCTCGTGTTAAATTCTGTCCTTGGGGCCCTTGTGCCGACGCCAACGCCAAGGGGCGAGGGAATTCCGACGAGTTCGGTGTTCATATGTGTTTGTCACATTCCGATTCTTTTGGGTCCTTCAAAATGTTGTTCCCGCTGCAGCGCTGCCCCCATTTTTGCGCCGATGGCTCCCAGCTCTGACCTTCCCTGGATACCCCACCGCACGTACATCCGCCGCCGCACCTCCTGCGACCCCAGGCACTCACAAATGTCATGAACTGTTCGCCCCCAGTGTTATAGTCCCCTGAAACGAGAGCTGCCCCCGAAAACCTCCTCCCGCATCATCCGTGCCTGTTTCTTCACCCCTCTCTGACAGCTTTCACTGGTCCTCCCCCACGTGTTCGTCGTCCCTGCCTGCTCCATCAAAAACTCCTGCTCCCCCTTCTCTACCTTTTCCACTTCTCCTCCGCATCTTCATGCTCCTCTTGCTCCTCCTCCCACCTGTTCCTCCTCCTTCACTCCTCCGTCTCCTCCTCCTCCCCGCCCTCTCCCCCCCGTTTCCCTCGAGAGCCGATGCCTCCAGGGTCGGCGGCACAGGCCGTAAGGCCAGCGCAATAAGCAACCGTACTTGCAGGAGCCCCAAACTCAGCAGCCTGAGTGGTCTGCGGGTAGCTAGCGGAGAGAGGGCCGTATAGGATCGCCCGAGGGTCGCCATTGGCCGCGAGTTTCGCCGCGCCCCCCCCCACCCCGCCTTCCACAGCTCCTTGATGGGGGTTTTCCTACACGAGCCATCCATGAAAATGTCCCCGACCAGCTCTTGTCCCATGTCCGCGTGCATGGCGAAGCCACTGGAAATATCGAGAGGCGCGTTAGAGCCAGGCCTGGCGTCAAAATTTGGAACACCTGGGCCGCAAACGCCTCGTCCTGACCCAAGGGACGCGGCCACCAGTCACCTGGATCCTGGATGAGGGAACAGTCCAGTTTCCAACTGAAGCCGCTCAAGGGCCGTCGGGTCGGGCTTCCTGGCATGCTCTAGAACTCTCAAAGGCACCAACTCTTTCCTCAACTCTTCGCACAACACACACACACACACACACACACACTCCCAAAGACGGTGAAAGATGGTATCGCCTGGCTGCCCGCACCGTGGACAGAGGTCCTCAACTTAATAACCTGCGGCTCGTGCGCGGGCAAGCGGTCAGACCCCGTTGCAGCGGACAGTGCGGATGCAGCCCTTGTCCAGGGCTTCTTGGACGACAGACCCTCCAGAAACACGTCATAGCACAGCCTGTGGTCCTGAGCGCACTCGGCCCCCGCCTCCCTCTCGAGGAGCCTGCAAGAGGATTCACGGAGGACCTTCTTGAGCACGACCGGGGACGTAAGGGTAAAGGAGAACGGTGCCCCCAGATTGTCCACCACACCGAACGGCTGAGACATGGACCAATTAAGCCTGGCTAGCGACACCCTCCGGACCCGCAAGGGGCCTCGCACGGCAAGCCAGGGGCAAGGCCCACTGAAGGCCTGGGCCCAGGCATCCCTCAAGACATCCCAAGAAAACGCAAAAAGGGGGTGGCGGAGGTGCGTCTTAGCCAAACCTCGCGCGCATAGCGCAGAACAGGAGCAGCCGTGACAACCACGTCGGGTCTCCTTCCAAGCGCAGCAGCGAGCATAGAGATCGCCCACCTGAGGAGGGCTCCAAAGTTGTGCGACCCATGTCGTAACCACGTCAAAATTAAGCCGCTTCCCTTTGTCCCTTCCCCGGCGGGGGGGGGTCCCAGTAGGGTCCCGGGGGGTACGGGGGGGGGTCCCACGGGGTGTCGCCACCCAGATACGCTTTCACTCCCCGCGCGCTCCTCGCGCGTCTGGCGCGGTCCCCGCGCGGTTCCGGAACCCCGCGAGGCTTCGGAAGCTCACAGACATCCCCAAGGTGAAGCCACGAACCTTTCAAAATACCCCCAGCCGTCCAAGACTCTCCCACATGATGCCAAAAACAAGCCCTCGACAAAAGGAATATTCCGAGCCGTCCACGGATGCCCCAAAGAAACCAAAGAAAACGGCCCGAAACCTATGGAAATCCCATGTTTTTGGCTTTCTCATCTTTTCGCTTCCGAAGGGCTGCGAGGGCTGCGAAAGGAGGCGAGGCGAGGCTTTCTGGGGCCGCCAGAGCCCTCTCTTCGGCTACCCTCCTCCTCCTCCTCCTCCTCCTCCTCCTCCTCCTCCTCCTCCTCCTCCTCCTCCTCCAACTCCTCCTTCTCCCGCCACCCCCCGTTCCTACTCCTCCTCCCCTCCTCCCCCTCCTCCTCCTCCTCCCGTCTCCTCCTCCTCCTCCGTCCTCCTCCTCCTCCTCCTCCTCCTCCGTCCTCCTCCTCCTCCCCTCCTCCCCCTCCTCTCCCCCTCCTGCTCCAACCCATTTTCCACGCTCATCCTCCCTCCTCCCCCTCTTCCTCCTTCTCCTCTTCCTCCACCTCCTCCTCCTCCCATGCTCCTCCTCCTCCTCCTCCTCCTCCCCCTCCTCCTCGCCTCCTCCTCATCATCATCATCTTCCTCGGCCTCCGTCTCCGCCAACTTCGTCGCCGACGTCGCGGTCCTCTTCAGGGTCGGCGGCACCAGCCGTCAGGCCTTCGCAATCAAAATGACTATTGCGTCTTGAGGATCCAAAATCGTGCCAGAACACCGTTACTGGGACTTCAACGCAACGAATCAACGTAACTGTGGCGCCCTCACACTCCTGAGCCCCTCCAAAACACACTTGCTGGCACGTTGACCATGGGAATCCGTGAAACTCTTGCCAATGTTTGAGACGATGGCGCGTGGCGCTAAGGCGAGAACCACATTTTGAAAAGAGACCGCCCTCAATCCGTGAAACTCTTGCAAACTGTTGAAACGAATGCCGGCGGCGCTAAGGCGAGAGCCACATGTTGAAAACGACCCGCCCGACAAAAACAAAAACAAAAAACAAAACAAAAACGAATGTGTGCGACGCTAAAGCGAGAGACACGTGTTGAAAACCACCCGCCTTCAATGCAGGGTCATGCATGGTAAGGAAGTCTCAGGCGAAACGCCCAGCCCGCCCTTTCGACCGGCCTCCGGGTGCAACAGGAGGAGGAGGAGGAGGAGGAGGAGGAGGAGGAGGAGGAGGTGGAGGAGAGGAGGAGAGGAGGAGGAGGAAGAGGAGGAGGAGGAGGAGGAGGGACGCCAGCAGCAGCAGCAGCAGGGGCAGCGGACAGGCGAGTGCCTAGGGCGAGCGGGCGCTGCAGAGGAGGGGGACGGAGAGAGAGGGCGGGCAGAGGGAGGGGTAGTTCGAAGTTTGTTCCCGACGTTGCCATCGGTTCCCAGCGGCTTTCCAGCCTCGGGATGCCCTTCGGCGGGTGCGCCTCGTCGAGAGCGTTCCCAGGGTGCCTGGATCTTCCCGAACGGCCGCCGGAAGCCCAAGCGATGGCCTGGATATAGAGAGAGAGAGAGAGAGAAAAAAAAAAAAAAAAAAAAAAAAAAAGAATTTGAGAGAGAGAGAGAGAGACAGAGAGAGAGCGAGGGAATAGAAAGAGAGAGAGAGAGAGTCCCTTTCTGCGAGCAGTGTGAACCTTGAACTTCGCTGGGGCCACGAGTCACGAGTCCCGCCGTCGGCGGGAGGCACCGTGTCAGTGCGCTATGAGCGTGCCTTGGGCGCCTGACACCCTCGTGTGGCCTAAGCCGAAACGAGCAGAGGAAAACAGAGCATTGAGAACAACACAATGTGGGGTGAGAGAGAGAGAGAGAGAGGGATGGATTGTCGGATCACTCTCGGGTGGGAAAGAGAGAGAGAGAGAGAGAGGCCCTTCACGTGGGCGCGCCTGGCTGAAGCTGGTGAAGATGCTGTCGGGTGTCGTACTGCCGACTCTAGGGGGGACAGGCAAAGGGGGAGAGAGTGAGACCTCGAGCACCCCGTGCATCTCCAGGGATGCACACCCACGGGTGTCTCCCACCCCTCGGGGGAGGATCTCCTAGGTAACAGAGCACCTGCGGGCAGGGGCACGCCACCGACGAGGGGGAAGGGGAGGAGGAGTTCCCAACGTAAATGGCGGAGGCGGGTGAGGGAAGGCCTACAGCTGGGCCTTGAGTGGGAGTCCAGGGGGGCGAAGCCTTGCCACTCAAGGAGGGGGCGGGTCCTGCAGAGCCAGCCCTCGGTCGCTGTTATCATCATCACCGCCGTCAACATCGTCATACATCATCAGATCGTCAGGGTCTGGCCAGCTGGGTCCCCCGAATTGGAGCCTAGGTGAGGGCGAAGATGGACAGGTCGGCCACCCTTGGTAGCCTAGTCCAAGCACCGATCAACTCGGAGGTGGGGCGGGTCGCTGGCGTCAGGGGGAGGTGGAGGAGGAGGAAAACGAGCTCAGAGCTCCCGATCAGCACTAATCTACGATTGGCACATCATTAGGAAGCTGTCTCCGATATCTCGCACTCTTGGAGGGGGAGGGCAGGGAGGGAAGATGCAAATTCGGCCGACCTTGAACGCATCCCATGAGCATCGGAATTGAGGCTCCCATGAGTCCTGTCACCACCTGTTGCACCACCACTTTCTCCTGGGAGTCGGCCAGGGTGAAAGGTAACTGGAAGTGATTCATGAGACTCTGCAAATACCATACTTCACGCGTATGGGACCAATTGAGCGTCACATATGCCTTCAACACCCGAGAGACTGGCCAATCATCAACCGGCAGTAAAATCCAGATCACATAGGCGACCACGACGCCTGCCAGAAAGGAAATCACAAGGTACTGACGGTGAAGTTGGCCGAGGTAGCGGCCATCAAAGATGTCATCTCCAGGGGTGTCGTCAAAATCAGCTTCCCTTGAGTCTGCCTCCGTTCAGATCGCTGAGCCGTTGATGATGTTGAGCACCATCATGGCCTTCTTCGTCTTGGAGGCAGGGACCTGTTTGCGCGGGAAGTGGGCCTCGATGCATTTGTTGCATTGCCCAACCACAACCTTGTCTTTCATCGCCTCCTCGAGCATCTTAGTCGCTTGGCCCCATGTGAGCTTGCCAGGAAGACTGCATTTTTTCCCAATGACAGATTGGAGCCATCCGACCTCTGGTCGCCCCATGATATCTCCTGCATCGGGGGGCTCGGCCACAGGAGTCGGGGTCCAGGTACGCTTCGTGTTGTCGTCCTTCTCCTTGTCCCTGCTGGTGTCCTTGTCCTTGTCCTTGTCGCCCTCGAGCTTCGAGATGCGGTCCCCGAAGGCCGTCTTCATCGCCGCCGCGATGTACTCCCCTTGACGTCGTAGCTGCATCTCCTCGGCCCTGTCCTTCTTGTCCTTGACGAACGCACGATACTCTGGATCACGATCAGCCAGCTCACGCCGCATCACCTCCAGTTCACGCTTCTGCACAGAGTTGGAACGGGAGCGAGCCTGACGCCGATCTCGATCCCCACGATGGCCATCAAGATCACGCTCTCGGCGGTCATCTCGATCATCAGGGCTCCGACGCCTGTCACGATCACGATCTCGGTCGTGGTACTTGTCATTGCTGTAGCTCTCACGGCGGCGGTCCCATTCACGTCTATCGTAGCCTGAGTCCCTGTCTCCCTCACGCTTGATCCACTGGTCCCGCTCGGAGAACCAGGCACCTCCACCCCCTCGACGGTCGTCACGTCCTGAGTCGTACTTGACCCATGGCTGGCGTTTCTCGTCCGAACGGCCCATTCGGACAACTTCTGGTAGAAAATACCTGCACCACTGCCGAAGTGCGACTCGAGCCTTCTGGATGGCGACGGACCAGGGGCACGCGTGCACGGCTGCCAGGATCAATCCGGGTGGGTAATGTAGTAAGTGCATCTCCAGGGCCAGTTCCAGGATCCACGAGAGAGTTACAGGGATAGTCAGGGATAGGTATTGGGCACGCGCCAGACGTCCTGAAAACAAAGCTACAACCATACCAAAGCCCCTCGGGGCCACACCAGGCCAGGGAGGCATGTTGGATTTAGGACGGGGACCAGGTTCATGTTGTACAAGCCAAGGTCTGTTATCGTTCTTCGGGGCAATCCAGCAGGAGTCCTCGTCGGGCCACAACTCTAGGTCCAGCCAGATACAGGGAGCCTCGGGGTCCTCTAGGTCGGATGCGGGGGACAGCTTCACCTTGTAAACCAATTTCAGGTACTCAAACACGCATAATCTGCAATAAACTTTACTCACACCTAAAATATCATCCACATATCTACGTTGTCGAACCCTGACCGATGTAGACGACGACGGAAGAAATGACGAGGTAGTAGGGGATGTTTCAAAGCCCGACGACGCGAACTGGTCAGGTCTCCTCTGGGCCTGCAGCTCATACCAGGCGAGCAGGATGGACAGTGCAACGCCTGAGAGGACACCCCCTATGGGCAAGCCTCTCAGTTCATACACCACGCCACCGATCGTGACTAGTGATAGCCAGCAGTACGCAATTAAAGTGGACGTGATATCTGAAACTGAAATCTTGAAGTAGTTCGGCGGGGTGCCGTTTGAGAACGCGCGGGTCTTCACCTCACGTCCTCGCTTGACCAGTGCAGCATCTGTGCCGAGCTGGTGAACAATACGTTGAGAAACATCGCGCCAGGCTTCACCGATCAAACTTGAGCTGCATTGCTCATATGCCTGGTCTGCATCTGCTACAACAATTGAAACATTGCGGAGCATCCCTCCGCATCGCAGGCACACATCTGTAGATGGAGGATCAAGCTCAGCTTGTATTCTTCGGACTTCCTGAGCCGCGTCATTCATATTGAACACCTCACACGACACTCCACTCGTTTTCAATAAGTGACGGGTAGCTCGTCCAACATACCTATACCCTTCCGTACCTGGAGCATCTGCCGAATTCACGATACGTCTCATACAGCTATGTCCTGGTTTCGTGCAACAACGGGTTCCATCATCCAGAAAGCATTTACTCTTCACCGTGGGGAAAACGTACGGGGGGTTCGTGGTCTTGGACGGGGGGGGCATCATATTCCCTTTTCGTAACCATGCTGGAAGACCTTGTGTAGCCCGTGCCCAGAGCCACGCAGCAGCATCATACCTAGATATATCATATCGAACAGTCCAATCATCATCAAGTTCAGCCGTTTGGTGGAGCCAACGTATCACATCAACACCATCTGCTGCCCATGTTTTATCCCCTTGTTTATCATCAGCAATGATGGTTAGGCCTTTGGCATCACGTACAGAGGTCTTCAGGGTGCTCTCGAGGTCTTGCCATTGGCGTGGCTGGGGTCCCCTGGGGTCTTCTTGGTGTTTCGTCATGTTGGCAAATTTCTCGGATAGGTATCTGAGTCCGCGACGCACCTGCACAGGACCTAATCTAGCAGCCTGGAGCCACTCCAGAAGAGCCACCCGAGCTGACCGTAGGGTAACTCTAGGCGTGGACCACACTGGAAGACGCCAATAACCTGGTAAAGCATGTAGGTGGAGAGGGCCAGATACAAACTGAGACTCCTTGACTGAGGCGGGTAGGCAAGATGATGAGTAGGTGGCACAAAAGTTACTGACCGACACTTTGTCTTTCCACTTTCGCTGGGCCTTAAACGAAACCCGAGTCGGTCGTTGGTACCACTTGCGGGCTGGTTCAAACCTCATGCTGCGGGTTAGTTGCACCACGGATCCTCTCACCACTTGCTGGTAGGTCGGGTGACGGAACTCATGGGGGAGACGGAGCACTGGAAACTTCGCGGCTGGCAGATTCAAGACCTTCAAATGTCGGTTCAACTGGAACTTCGCCATTCGCTGTCGCGTAAAGTTGGTCAGGAATAGGTGGCACATGCTCGCTGCCTTGAAGTATATAGCACCCTGCTCCACTCTGGACAGGTACCTACAAAACGGCAAAGGGTGCCACTGCTTTGCCAGATATGCTAGAAGCAGACCGAGACGGAGAGGATCCAGAAGCCAAAGGGGGCCTTCTTCTCGGGTCAGGTGAAAATGTTCTCGAATCTGAAGATCATAGAGAACTCCATACGGGGCCTCCTCAGATAGGGCACCTGGAAAATTCCTTAGGGGTCCTGTTTCGTCGTTTTGTCGTGGGGCATCGAACGTCGGCGTCGCTGATCGCCATACAGGGGGAGGGTTTCGTTGTGGAGGTCGTCGTCGCCAGGATGGGGGTCGTCGTCGCTGTTTCTTGGATTTCGGCACTGCGTACAGGGTTCCTAGGCCTCGTCGATGGCTCACGAACTCGGACTCCTTCGCATCGGCCTCGTTCGCACTAGGTCGGAAGCGTCGGATCCCCAACGTCTCGAAGTGCAGGCTCGCGGACTCGGTCGGGAGCCACAGGATCGGGAGGAAGAAGAGGGAGCCTGGACTGCGTCGGAGCTCTCGATAACGTGGTCGATTCCCTGGTCGAACCCGCGGAAACATCAGTCCTCGAAGATGCTCCTGGATACGTCCCAGAACTCCTGAAAGAACCCCAGTCCGCAAGATGGCTTTCCCGAGGTAGAGGGAGGAGTACGAGCCGAGGATGTAGACCACAGCCTTGTGGGGGTCGGTGGGGAGGCCCAGCATACTCTTAAAGGCTAGCTCTACAATCGGCTCTGACCAATCATTGATGCCTCTACGCCACTCTGGAGGAAGGATGCGGAATGTGTCTCTCGCCCATCTTGCTGGTGATGAACGGCTCAGTTCTCGCGCCAATCGCGTGAGACCTGACATCAATAGTACTACGCCGATGGTACTCCAGAACGCTGGACCTCTGAACGCCCGAGTCCCCTCGGGCTGTCCACCTATGAACTCCGAAAGTATTGAGAATGCAATCGTGATATATGCACAAAAATGTCTGTGAAAGCGTTGTGACCACAGCCAAGAACGGATTTCTGCGCCAACTTCACCTTGGGTTAGTCCTGAATTCTTCCGAAGAGCATGCATCAAAACTGTGCGTCCTACTGTGGTCGCACGAGGTTGGCTCAGAGGGATGGGGATCAGGAGCTTGCCGAACTCCAGCTCCTGCGGCGGGGGCGAGTGAACCACGGAGTCTGAGTCATGCCCACGCCCCACGTGTAGTCCTCGCTGCTGCTGCTGTCGTACTCGGGACCACTGTCTGGTTCTGTCGCCCTGCCTGAAACCATACGGTCTGTCGCCGCCGAGAGGTACCATTGCCACGTCTGCTGGTCCCTCGCTGCCACCTCTGCTTGATACTTCAACCACTGCATCTCGAGATCCCAAAGCGCGGGCCCGTACAGCTGGTAGCACAGGATGGATGTCTGCGTCAGGCTTTTTAGCCATTCCTCAGGACGTCTGAGGTACGATCTGATCAGATGGAAGACGTCGGACTGATTCAAAATATCCGTAATAGTCTGGGGCATTGCAACTCAACTTCAACAGCCCAGTGCACAAGAAACTAGTCAATCAGGTAGAGGATGAGGTATGGAATATGAACTCCCAGAAGACACTATTTTTATATTGAGTTCGGACTTCTGGGACCGTGAACGCGATCCTGGATAGGTGCGTGAGCCTTGTACTCCCGTTGCTCAGATCCCCAAGCCGGTACAGCACAAGATGTGAGAGAGTCCCTTTCTGCGAGCAGTGTGAACCTTGAACTTCGCTGGGGCCACGAGTCACGAGTCCCGCCGTCGGCGGGAGGCACCGTGTCAGTGCGCTATGAGCGTGCCTTGGGCGCCTGACACCCTCGTGTGGCCTAAGCCGAAACGAGCAGAGGAAAACAGAGCATTGAGAACAACACAATGTGGGGTGAGAGAGAGAGAGAGGGATGGAGTGTCGGATCACTCTCGGGTGGGAAGAAGAAGAGGGAGAGAGAGAGAGAGAGAGAGAGAGAGAGAGAGAGAGAGAGAGAGAGAGAGAGAGAGAGAGAGAGAGAGAGAGAGAGAGACAACGGCAGAGACAGAGACAGAAAGAGAGGGAGAGGAACAGAGTGACAGAGGGAGAGGGAAAGGGGGAGGGAGGGACGCTACTGCGCTCTGCACTGATCCGCATTCCCGTCTGCGCTGCGCTGAATTGCACTGCACTGCGCTGCGCTGCGCAGCGCGGCTTTATCTTGCATTGCAGCGCATTGCGCTGCGCCGCATAGATCGCTATGATTCACGGTTTGGGGCCCGCGCTGGACGAAGGCTTCCCCTTGACTGTCCAGCGCAGGGCGCTGGCGTCCTCTGGCGCCGAGCGCCGAATGCCGATGCCGAGCGCGACCCCTCGACTTGCGAATGGGATTCGAACCCGATGCCTCTGCTTCGAAGAAAAACGGGCGTAAACATAAGAGAAAGATTCGGAGGTTCGCGCGGATTTCGTGGATCTGCGCTGACCCCCCTAGCAGCGTCTCCAGCACCGCACCTGGCGGGCTCCGCGCGTCAGGGAGGGGGCCCAGCGCTGATCCAAGAAATCCGCAAGGACCTCCGAAAAGTTGTGTTTATGCAGTTGCGTGTTCGTTCCTCTACTGGTACCTGCACCCATCAGGGGCGAGGCGGGAGTGAGAAGCAGGCTGGAGAAAAAGCACTAAGTTACCAAAGGTCCAGCTGGTCTAACGGGCAGTAACGATTTCACACGTGTTCCACCACGACTCAGAAGCATCGGGCTCCATTCGCCGTCGTGTCCCGTGCGAGGCAAGAGGTGGAGCAGCCACTTGTGGATCCCCACCTGCCGACGACGGACAACGGCGCGT